TCTAGTGGCACTTTTTTGTGATAACAAAGTGTACACACTGCTCCACACCCATAAATCCCCACCTCTAGAAGGAGGGGAGGGAATCACATTTTCTCATCTCTTCTTCTGGGTCCAAGTTTGGTCATTATAATTACAGAATTTGGTTTCGATTTTTGTTGTCATTGGTGTTTCCATTTAAAGTGAAGCAGTAATTATGTGCATTATTTTCTTCCTTCTTCACTTTGCATCAGTCCATATATGATTTTATGTTTATCTTATGGAGCAGTAAGACTTCCTATTTTTAGCTAACCGTTTTACTAATTAGTTGTTAAGTTCTGTTGTTTCCATGTGCTGAAGGACTACAAGCACTGCCAGTGCCCTCTAATCTTGGCTCCTTCTAAATAGGGGCTCTGGGATAAAGTACCTGGTGTCCCACCCTAGTTACTGCTCTTTTCTGCCATCTACTGTTCTGGTGGGCTTTTTGTCCCAGAATGGATCCGGTTGTGTCTCAGTTACTATAAGGTTTTGAAAGGAACAGAGAAAAAGTTGGACACAGAAACCAACATTTCAGAATAGCGGGATTTGCTGGTTTTCTAATAGCAAGCTTCCAGCAGGTACCAGAGCATCTGTTTAATGTTCTCAGTGTTAATGTCTACCCTTCAGTTGCCAGGTCAATGGGGAACCACGCCCTATCCTGGGATCCTGAGAGGCTAAGACAGAGTGTGTTCTCCATCAGGATTTGGGTTAGCCTCAGTCCACATTCATCTTGCCCTGTCTCACTAAGGAGTGAGAATTAAGGACTTCACTATTTGGGAGGTTAGGTCCTCATAATGCAAGGCTCCTTTGCTCATGAGGCAACTAGGAGGCTCAGTGGACAGAGTGCCGGGCCTGGAGTCAGGAAGACACATCTTCCTGTGTTCAAATCTGCTAGGTCTAGTAGGTCAAATCTAGTAGGTCATACCTACTAGTTGTGTGACCCTGGGCAAGTCACTTAATCCTGTTTGCCTCAGTTTTCTCATCTGGAAAATGAATTGAAGAAAGAAATGGCAAATCGTTCCAGTATCTTTGTTAAGGAAATGGAGTCACGAAGAGTAGAATACAACTGAAAAATGACCAAACAACAACGAAACCTATGCTCACGTCAAGGCTAGCCAAAGTCAGCAGCCACCGGTTCTGTGATTTGAGTCTGCAACTTTCACCTGCTCATTGATGAAACTGCAAAACAAGAGACCAAACTTTTTGTTCTCCTCTCCATTAATACTATTTTGCTTGGTGAACTTATCTGTTTCAAGTCATCCTCCTAATCCCCCAGGTGTACAGCGTGGGCATTATCCTTGACTCCTCACTCCCTCTTATTCCACTTACCCAATCGCTTGCCAAGTCCAGCCGATTCTGGCTTCACAACATCCCTCATATGCTCCCTCCTCTCTCCTCAGACTCTGCCACCACTCTGGCTCAGGCCCTCATCACCTCACACCTGGACTATTGCAATAACCTGCTGGTTGTTCTCCCTACCTCAAGTCTTTCCCTTCTACAATCCATCCTCCCCTCAGCTATCAAAGTAATCTTACTAAAGCTTATACCAGAGGTGCTAGTCCTCCCTGAGCAACTTTTTCAGGACTGCTCATCTACCTTTGGTGTCTCCCTGTCACCCAACTCTCACCTGTGGCTCCAAGAAGTTGTAGCATGCCACCCTGGTAAAAACCACCTCAGCAAATGGGCTAAAACCAGGTTGAGGTAACTGACAGGCCCTAAAGCTGTCGGTGAGTTAGGGAGATGTCTACCCCAAGCATATGAAGACATCCCCCGGAAGAATGGGTGGATGAGAACAATTTGTTCCGATGGTGGCCATGAAGGAGGCTGAAGTAACCACTGTGATGAGCTTAAGCTTGGTTAGACATTGAAGATGCCAAGGTCATCCACTGCATCCCAGCCATCACCGGTCGTTCTGATGTTTGCCTTGCCCCTGGACTTTGTGGACTCTGGAAGAGAGAGTAAGGCTGATGACTTTGTGCAACTCCACCTCACTTAAATCCAATTCACTCAAAAGTCAAGACATCACTATTTTCTGAATCCTGACCCCGACATCGTGATGTCATTGGTCCTCTTCCAAAACAAAGGACTGACAACAACAGAAACTAAAGCTTAAGTCTGACTCTAGTTCGTTAAACTCTAGTGTCTCCTTATTAACTCCAGGATCAATTGTACAATCTTTTAGGCTTTCAAAGCCCTTTATAAAATGTCTCCTTTCTAACTTGCTAGTCTTTTTCTACTTTACTCCCTTCAGTGTACTTTATGATCCAGTGGCACTAACCTTCTTGCTATTTTTCTCTCACAACACCCCACCTCCTGACTGTGCATTTTTGCAGGGTGGCCCTCATGCTTAGATGTCCTCCTGCCTCATCCCCTCTTTCTGACTTCCCTGGCTTCGTTCAAGTTCCAGCTAAAATTCCACCTTCTTTAAGAAGCTTTTCCCAATGGATCTTAATGTTAGTGCCTTTCTTCTGTTGATTATCTACAGTCTATCCTGTCTATAGCCTGTTTATACCTAGCTATTCACTCTTTGTTTCCCTTAAGCTCCTTGAGAACAAGGATTGTCTTTTGTCTTTCTTTGTATCATCAGTGCTTAATACAATGCCTGGCATATAGTAGGCAGTTAATAAACACTTAGCTAGCTGTGTGACTGTGGGCAAGTCACTTAACCCTGTTTACCTCAGTTCCTCATTTGTAAAATAAACAGGAGAAGGAATGGCAAATCACCCCAGTACCTTTACCAAGAAAACCCCAAATAGGGTCACGAAGAATTGGACATGATTGAAAAATGACTGAAAAATAACAACAAAAAAATGATTGTAGACTTGATTTGGCTTGACTTCATTTCACAATTGAGGTTAAGACTTAAAATGCAAATACTCCTGGGGACTGGATTGACTGAGACCAGATGTGTTCCAATCAATTAATCATTTATTAATAACCTAATATGTACCAGGTACTGTGCTAGTCTCTGAGAATACAAAGACAAAAAGCTAAATAATAATAACTAACATTTATGTAGCGCTTTGAGCTTTCCAAAATGTTTCCTATTCTCTTCTTTGATCCTCACAACAGCCCTGGGAGGTAGGTGCTATTATTATCCCTATCTTACAGATGAGGAAACTGATACAGACAGAAGGAAAGTGACTTGCCTAGGGTCACACAGCTGGTTAGTGTCTGATGCCGGATTTGAACTCAGGAGTTTCAGGTCCACGTGAGCATATGATAACCTTAACACGTATAGGTATAGACAAAATGCAAAATGTTCCAAAAGTCTTAATGCAATTTCAAAGCCTATTAAAGTCGAAAACTATCGTAAGACTTTTGGGACACTTGTAGCTATGGGTTGATTTTTTTCCCTAGCATCTGGGTAGGTGGGGCTTTACAAAGAGGAAGAAAGAGGGTACTGGGGATGCTGAATGATTTACTCATATCTGAAAATGTAGTTATTTTGCATATTATATATACATTTGTCTGGGTCCATCCTCCCTACGGGCCTGAGGACTTGTCCTGTGGGATTTTGAAGATATGGTTCTGTTTCATTTCTGGGAAAAATAGGACTTGGGGTCCACTGAGGGTAGGATCACACTATACCCAGACCCTAAGGAAAACCTTGAACTTACCTAAGGTGTTTCTAATATACTTTGCCCACAGTCATCTTCCTCAGACCCACACACCTTGACCCTAAGGATGCAGATTGACTGATAGGGGCTGCCCTATTTCCCCAACCTCCCATCCCCTTTCATACTCAATAATGTAACAGAAAGAATTATATAGATCGCATTTATACAGTGCTTTTTCAGCTACAAAAATCTTTCTTCATAAAAACTCAGGTGGATCTATGTGAATAAGGTGGGTTGTTGATGGTCAAGGTTATTTATGTGGGAGGGGGGAATAAGAGTAGAGGTATAGATTTGGAAAAGGGGGTGGATATCTGAATCCATCTGAGACTCGGTATAACCAGTGGTGTTATCCATGGGAATGCACAGGTATTGATGAAAATCACATGTACATCAAGAAGTTATCAAGCTTGGGGATGTAAACTCTTTGAGAGCCCGGAATACACCACCTTGGTATTTGCACCTCCAGGACTTGGCACATTTGGAGTAGAGGAGACTGTTGGGGTGCTAGACCTGTAGTTTCATGGGTATAGAGAATTTCCCAGGAAGATCCAAGGAGAGATGACTGTGGGCAGAATCCAGCCTGAGATCTGAGGTCCTATGGATAGAGAGCCCTGTTATCCTCATTTTACAGAAAAGGAAACTGGCAGGCACTATGCTAAGTATTTTACAAATATCTCATTTGACCCACAAAACCACCCTAGGAGGTAAGTGTTATTATTAGCACCTGAGGAAACTGAGGCAGACAGAAGTTAAGTGACTTAACCAGGTCACACAGCTAATAAATGTCTGAGGCTAGATTTGAATTCAGGTCTTCCTGACTCCAGGCCCAGTGTTCTATCCACTGCATCATCTAACTAGCAGTTGGAGAGAGCGCGAAAGGTTTCAAGCAGGAGATGATGACTGGGACTCTTTGATGTGGAGGTAAGGAGAGTACATTCCAGGCATGAGGTAGGGCCAGTGCAAAAGTATGGAGATGAGAATTGGATGGTGAACGTTAAAAAACGGAGGAAGGGCCAGCTTGGCTGTGAGAGGGGGAGCCAGGATGTTTAAGGAAGGAGATGGCATATACAGGTAGCTGAGTGCAAACTCGTATGTGATGGGGTGAGTGTGTGTATACGTGTATATGTGTATATGCATATGTACATATATGTGTATACATGGGCGTTTCCTGGTCCCTCCAGATTCCTTCCTGGATCACTGTAGAGCTGGAGCACGAACGCCGCCTACTCCTGCGTGGCTCAGATAGCAGAACTCCCGATCCCGCCCATCATGGTATTATCGAGAGCCTCGCCACGCCTCCCGGGCGGATCCCGTTTCCGAGAGGGGAGGAGCCCGGGGCTGCGGGGCGGAAGTGCTTTCTTGGCAGCGGAAGTGATTGGTACTGCGGGGCAAGATGGCGGCACCCAAGGGGCCTTAAAGCAGGTTAGGTGGGCATCTCAAGCGGTCTTTTTACCGGGTGGAACTTCAGCCATGGTCCCCGGCCCGGGTGCAGAGCTGGGCATCCACTTCCTGGTTTATTTGCCCGATACTGGCGCCTTCTCTTTGGGAGACCCGCGGGTCCGCGTGGGAGAGTGGGGAGTGAGAGCGCTTTTTTCGCCCGGGGTGCGTGGAGAGCCAGCGGAGATATCCCGGGCTCTGGGGGGAAGGAGAAGTCCAGGCCTGGGAGCTCGCCCCAGCGGCTGGTGGCGTTCTGTTCTTCTTCCACCCCGTGGGACTTGCATTAATTCTGTTATTTCCATTTGAGTTCTCTGGTCTACACTGAAAGCCCCAGTTCAATTCAGCAAGCATTTAGTGAGCGCCTACTACATGCGTGTCCTCTACTGTAGGGCAGGGACTGTGTTTTTGTCTTTTTTTTTTTTTTTTTTTTTTGCTTTCCCAGCACTTGGCATAGTGCCTGCCACATAGGAAACGCTTCATAAATATTTGTTGAACGACTGACAGTACATACAGAAACAGAACGATCAATCGTCGGTCCATAAAAACAAAGAAAAACGATTTCTAACACCCAATCAACAAACATTGATTAAGAAGAACTATTTATTAACGTCTCATTTTGTGCCAGGTACTGTGCTAAGTGCTTTACAAATATTAACCTCATCTGGCCCTGCTATTATCCCCGTTTTACAGCTGACGAATCTGAGGCAGACAAGTTAAGTGACTTGCCCTGGATCATGTAGCTTAGTTAGTGTCTGAAGTCAAAGAAAATCTTTTGACTAAAGACCTAACATTTTACTGCTCCACCTGCCTGTTCTGAGTCTACCGTGTGCTGGTATTGGGCTAGATGTAAAGATAAATATAAAAAAAGTGAAAGTCTCCAACTTAAGGAGTAGATTATAATTCTTTTTATTCTGAAGTTATCTTGAGCCAAATCTTAGAGTTCGAATGTGTGGGCAGCTTGTAATTTGCAAAGTGCTGTCTGGACAGTCTCTATTAAAGCAGCTGGAACTCAATATCTGATCACTTAGCTCCTTTGAAAATTAAGGAAAATAGCTTATGTTATTGCAGTGTAGTGTAATGGGTATTGGATTACTGGGGTGAGAGTCAAGTCTTGGCTCTGGCATTTATAAGCCATGTGATCTTGGTCTAGTCTAGTCCCTGGTCTGAGTTTCTCAGCAGAATGGAGTAAGGGTGTGGTCTCTATTGTCCCTTCAAGATTTAACCTCTCTTCTGATTTAAATTTCCCAAGTTAGATTTGTACTTTTATGGGGGAGGATACACCCAAGACTTGCCAGCACTTGGGTTTTTGTTGTTGTTGTAGTATATATTTTTGTATTTGCGTTTGTAGTTTTGTCCCAACAATAAAAATTGGTTGTGTTTACAGTGTGGCAGGCACTGTGCAAAATCCTGGGGGTTTTGTTGTTTCTGTATTGGTTCATTCGTGTCTGACTCTTGGTAAAAGTCATTTGGCATTTTCTTGGCAAAGATATTGGTTTGCCATTTCCTTCTCCAGCTTATCTTACAGATGAAGAAACTGAGGCAAACAGAGACTTGCCCAGGGTCATGCAGCTAGTGAGTGTGTCTGAGGCTGGATTTGAACTCAGGTCTTCTTGACTCCAGGCCCAGCATCTATCCACTGGGCCCATTAGCTGCTGGGGATACAAATACAAAGAGAAAGACCCTACCCCCAAGTTGCTTGTATTCTAATCTGAGCGTTGTGGCCTTTATGGTTGTTTTGGTTAGGGGGGTCATAGGGCTGACGGAGAGGACCCTTGGAATTGATTGACGTGGAATGTTAATTGTAAGGGGAAGTGGAGGGGAAGAAAGGGTATCCACCAAGCAGCATTCTATGAAGATATCCAGTGAGCAGAAGCATTATGAGTCTTCGTAGCTACGGAGAACTTTAACCAATCAAGATTGAAAGGGCCCCATGGTGCACATTGGAGAGCCAGGTCAGAGGCAAGGAGGCATGGTATGAAGATGACTGGAAAGTAGGGGTTCTTTTCATGGTACCATGCAGTTATATAATAGGAAACAGTGCCTTTTTTCCCACTTATGTAGGACCAGCTTGGAATGCCTGCCTTTTCTGAAGTAAGCAGCCTACCTACCTGTGGGTGTTTTGTTCAGTTAATCTATAAATATTCATTTAATGCTTACACTGTGCAAGCTGCTTTACAAAATACAAGCCCTAAAAAGACATGATCCCTACCAAATAAGAATTTAGAATCCCAGACTCTATATATTTTGGACCAAGTGGATAGATCAGAGCAGTCAAACTTTTTTTCTGGCATTTAAGGCCTTGTGAAATTTGTTGCTAATTACCTGTCCTCCCAACCTTCGCCTACCCCCTACCCCCATTTTTCTCCTAGAAGCATGTTGTTGTAGTGGAAAGAATTCTGGTTTTGAAGTCCTTTCTAGATGGTCAGACCAGGCACTTTTTAGTGTCTCTCTTGCAGGGGGCTCTGCATTGTTCTGGAGCTTGATGCAACCAGCGTAAAAACAGGAACCTCTAGAACACAGGTTTCTTAAATTTTTTTTGTTTCATGGACACCTTTGGCAGTCTGGTGAAACCTATGGACCCCTTCTCAGGAAAATGTTTTTAAGTACATAAAATCAAATACATAAGATGACAAAGGAAATCAATTATACTGAAATACAGTGTGTGTATGTGTGTGTAGATAGATAGATATCTATCTACACACATATATACACACACATATATGTATATATTGTGTATATATCTCTCACAGACCCCCAAGTTAACAACCCCTGCTGGAGAAAACCTCACTGTTCTTTGCCCTGGGTTCTGTGCTAGACCTTTTTCATCATACCTTTGGCTTTCATAATCTCCCTGTTATTAATATACTAATGATTAGAGAGTTATTGAACATCGTTGTCTCTATTGTTATATCTTTTAAGAAATTTTAAATGATTTTGTTGTATGGGTGGGAAGAGAACTCATCCATTTTGAAGGCCAGGCAAAGGAGAATAGAACTCTTTTTCCAAAATGCCCTATCCTTATTAATTTTCTTCTCCTAAAACAAAGCCAGAAATGGAAACAACCTGAAAAGCTTTTTAAAAGGGACAAAAATCCCAAAACAATTTTGGGGGATGAGAGTAAAGGGTAGCACTTTGTTCTACTGAATCAAATGCTTTTTAAATAACAAGCATTCAGAGCAGTGGGATCTTGTATTCCCTGGATCTTTTGGGCAGTTGTGTCATGGTAAAGATGTGGTCTGTCACTTGTGAAAGCCTGTTCCCGGTTAATATCCTTATTGAATATGTCTTCAATGTGTGTGAAGATGATTCTCATAAAAATTTTATATAGAAGGGAAAGTAGGACAAATAGGTTCATGGCTGTCAATATTCTCTCTCTTTTTTTTTTTTTTCCTTATTAACAAGGTTTTTTCCCACACCGTTGGTATCTTCTCCTTCAGACACCTTGTGATTTTATCAGTGCCCTCACAATGGTGTCACCTTCAGTGCAGCTCTCCTTTATGAGCACTTGGTCAGATTCAGCTGGTTTTCTCGGCTTTGTTCCCCTTCAGTGCTATTTCTACCTCCTCTCTAAACTCCTCTGAGACTATGATGTTAGAGTCTGACTCTGGTAGCTATACTGGTCCCTAATATCCTTTATAACAAACAGAAAAGTTTGTTATAAAAATCTTTGCAGTTCTTTTCCATTTTTATTTTGTTTGTTGTCCTCCTTCATTTTTGTCCTTAAATTCCCCTGAATAACTGCTTGATTTTGTCTCTTAGAAAGCTTTCTTTAAAATGATTTTAATCCCCACTGTTTTCTTTGCTTTATGAGGCAATACTGCTTATAATCTTCCATGCTCTTTGATCGTAAAACCTTTTTTTCTCTCACCCCCTGAACTTGTTTTGGTATTTTTCCCCCCTTTAAAAATTTTTTTAGGTTGTTTCTAGTTCTGGCTTCAGTTTTATGGAGAACAGAATTAACAAGAATTAGGCATTGTGAAAAAGAGCTTTAGTCTCCTCTGCCTGGCTTTCTAAATTTCCTATACCCTCCATCCTACTTATCCAACAGTCTTTCCTAAATCCTTCCCAATTATACATCTACTCTAGTAAGGCAAGTCTCCTCACTATTGCTTATAAATTAGCCATGCTGAGTCCTGTTTGTATACCTTTGTTCATTCTGTATCCAGTTCAATCCAAGGTGTGTTAAGTGCCAACTATGTGCAAAGTACTGGATTAGTTGCTGGGGGTGCAAAGTCAAGAAGAAAAACAGTCTACAGCAGAATACAACATGTATAAATACATAGATGATAATTTGAGGGGAGAAAAGGCACTAATAACTGGGGGTAGGCGGTAGCACATGATGTGAGCCTTGAATGAAGCTAGAGATACTAGCTTCTAGAGAAGCTGGAGAGGTAGAGATGTAGAAGGCACCTTGTTTTGTGGCAGTCCTCTAGCATAAGGGAGTCCCTTCTGGGAAAATGTAGGACTCCCCTATTGACCCTTGCTTTCTATCATTGGGTTCTTTGTGCCCCTCCTCTCCCAGTGTAGGTGCTGCTGTCAGTAGGGTAAGTCCTTGTCTGGATACTCAGTTTATGTCTAAGGAAAGGCCCATGGGCCAGGCAGAGACATGGGGGGGAAACAACCCTTTAATGAGTTCAGGTGCTGAGAATAGCATATGATAACGGTGGGAGTCAGTCCAGTGCAAAGCTTTATCACAAGCAGTGGGGAAAAGGGGAAAGGGAAGAGAGGAAAACGATACCCACACATAACACATATACACATTAACATAGAGCATAACTCATGTAACAGCACCTTTCCATTAGGAAGCCTATAGACATGGGTCTATTGAGCAGGAGGTGGGTGTTCAGCAGGAAGGTATGTTCCTGCTGGAAGGGAGGTGGTGCTCCAGCAGGAGTGAGGTTCTTATACTCTGATTTTGGGTGGCCCTCTTGGGATCAAGGCAAAATATTATTTTGGAAGGTTTGTTATTAGGGAGAAAAAACAAACTGGTAGTAGACAAAATATTATTTTGAGGGATTATCAGGGAGAAAAACAAGCTGGTGGTAGATGAAATATTTTTGAAGGACATAGCTGTACCAACCTTCGAAAAAATGTTATTGTCAGTATTTTTCCATGAGTGTATTCTGTAAGCATACAGCCTTCCTTAAGGAGAGACTGTCATGGTGGTCTCAAGAGCATCAGGCCAAGTTTTATAATACACTAATCAATGGCATTGAAGTAGGAGAACTGCATACTAAGTTCAGGTAAAAGTAAGTCCAGTATGATTGAAACATAGAGTATGTAAAGTGACGTAATGTTACATAAGCTGGTTGAAGCATGATTGTGAAAGATTTTAAATACCAATCAGGGAGTTTGTAGTTTATTCTAAAAGTAATAAGAACCACTGAAAATTATTGAGAATATCACTGACATGGTCAAGCAAATGCTTTATTTAAGAAGATATTTTGGGGGTAGCAAGGTGGCACAGTAGATAAGAGCTCTGGCCTTGGAATCAGGAGGACCTGAGTTCAAATTCGGCCTCAGACACATAACACTTACTAGCTGTGTGACCCTGGGTGAGTCACTTAACCCCAATTGCCTTAGCAAAAAAAAAAAAGTGTTAAAAGAAGATATTTTGACAACTGTGTAAAGGATATATTGGTAATGGGAAAGAGTTTTATAATAATCCAGGCAAGAAGTGATGAGGGCCTAAATTAGGTTAGTAGTTGTGGGAGCAGATAGAAGATAGGTGAGAGATTTTTTGTTTTATTTTGAGGTGTTTTAGAACCAAACCAGTATGTGCAAGGAACAACAAGCAGGTCAGTGTACATAGATTGTAGAGTGCATGGAGGGGAATAAAGTATAAAAAAACTGGAAAAGTCGGAAAGGAACAGTTACAAAGAACTTTCAGTGCCAAACAAAGGACTTTGTATTTGATCCTGGAGGCAATAGGGAGCCAGTGGAATTTATTGATTGTGGGGGTAATGTGGTCACACCTGCATTTTAGGAAATTCCCTTTAGCAGCTGAGTGGAAGATGGATTGGAGTCTTGAGGCTAAGAGATGCCCCCCAGAAGGCTATTGCAGTAGTTCAGGTGTAAGACAATTATGGCCTGAACTAGAGTGGTAGCTGTGTGAATAGAGGAAATGTTACGTCTGTGTGAGATGTTGTAAAGGGAGAAATGACAAGATCAGGCAGTAGATATGTGGGGTAATTGTGGAGTAAGGAGGTGAGGATGACCCCAATTGTGAAAGCCTGAGTAACTGGGGGTATCTCTTTTTTTTTTTAAATAACAAAAAATATGTTACTAAAATACAGGATTTACAGAAGTTTCCAGACAAGCTATACAAAATGGTCACAAACTTTTCCTGAAGGGAGGTTTCTACACTTGACAGCAGAATCAGGATATTAATAAGGACTATGATATTTAATGTTCCCTTTTTTTGTTCACATCACCAAACTTATCCATCTATAGCATCTAAGGAGTTAGACTTGGCTAGAGGGCAGATTCTGAAGTGCAACTGGTTAGTTGCTTTAACCAGTGCAGTTAGCATCACCATAAAAAGGGAAAAGGAACCCACAAAACTGGAAGAAAAAAATGACACACGGAAGTTAACTGACAACTCCGTTCATTCACAATGCTTATACTTATATCATGGTGGAAGAAATGAATAAAGGCAGAACTGTGTCACAGTTTTTAAATAATTTCACAATAATCCAGATGATACTCTCCTCATGTGTTACAACAGTGAATCCAGACAAGACATAGATTTGCTTAAGTGCATTTAATCACCAAAGGACTGAAGATGGTCTGTGTTTTTGTTCTGTAAAACGTTTCCTAGACTGTCCATTAAATGCAAACAAAAAAGGAAAAGGTCTTGACTGAACAGGAGAAGTGATGCACACTTGATGCTGAGATTGAATTTAAATATTTTTCATGGCATGTGTCCTAGTGGCTATTTCTGTGGCTTGGGCTTCTTTGCTCTTCCATTGCTCTGCTGCATTATTTGCTAATGGATCTTCTGGATTGAGAGCAGCCCTGTACAGATCTGCAAGGTTAGAGATCATTTGTCTTTCAATATATCTAAACATATTCTTCCCAACTTGTTTACATTAGAGTGATAAATTTTTGTCATGAAATATACTTTAGGAGCTGCCATTGGATATTTTGGAAGAAATAGTTCAGATTTAAAAGTCCCTTCCTCAAAGGAGGAATCCTGTGGGCCTGCAGAACCACATGAAAATAATGTAGGTTGCTTTTATCTGGTTCGTCTTTTATCCCAGGAACTGGTTCTGCCAACAAACACTGGGTTTCCTCAATAATCCTTCGAGATGGTCCAACCATCTTGTCTGATCTGAAATTCATCCTCAGGGTCTCATCCATAGCTTTGCTTGTCTCATGAATGAGTCAGATGGGTGGTACTCTTGACAGTTATAAGAAAGTTCAGAAGAAAGGAGAGTTTGAGGAAAAGATAAATTTGGTTTTGAACATGTTGAGTTTGGGATGTTTAGATATCCATTTCAAGATGTCTAAAAGGAGGTGGTGATATGAGATTATAGTTCAGGAGAAAGACTAGGGTTGGATATGTAGATCTGGGGGTCATCTATATAAAGATTGGATCCATGGGAACTGATAATATAAGTGAGAAAGTATGGGGCAAAAAGAGCTTTGGGGATGCTTACCACTTTTTTTTGGTAAATAGTATTTTATTTTTTTCCCAATTACATGTAAAGATAGTTTTCAACATTCATTTTTTATAAGATTTTGAGTTTCAAATTTTTTCTCCCTTCCTCCTTCCCATCCTTCCTCCCCAAGATGGTAAGTAATCTGATATAGATTATACATGTACAATCATGTAAATATATTTCCACATTAGGCATGTTGTGAAAGAAATATCAGAACAAAAAGGAAAAACCAAGAAAAACAAAAAAAAAGGTGAAAATAGTATGCTTCAATCTGCATTCAGACTCCATAGTTCTTTCCATGAATGTGGATAGCATTTTCTATCATGTCTTTTGGAGTTGTCTTAGATCATTGTATTGCTGAGAAGAGCTAACCTAATCATAGTTTAATGAGTCAAATTAAGTCAGACATAGATTAAACAGAACAATGTTGCTATTACTGTGTACAGTGTTCATCTGGTTCTGCTGACTTCACTCAGCATCAGTTCATGTAAGTCTTTCCAGGTTTTTCTAAAATCTGCCTGCTCATTATTTCTTATAGCACAATACTATTCCATTACATTCATATACCACAATTTGTTGAGCCATTCCCCAATTGATGAGTATACCCTCAATTTCTAATTCTTTGCCACCACAAAAAGAGCTGCAATAAATATTTTTGTACATGTGGGTCCTTTTCCCTTTTTTATGATCTCTTTGAGATACAGACCTAGTAGTGGTATTGCTGGGTCAAAGGATGGGCACAGTTTTATAACCCTTTTTACGTAGTTCCAAATTGGGGATGCTCACTATTAATGAGCATTGTGTGCATGGAGAGCCAACAAAGGAGACTACCGAGGCGTGGTAAGATAAGACAGATAGGAGAGTTGGAAAAAGAGCAGTATCATGAAATCAGACCTAGAGGGGAATATAGAGGAGGTGACACAGAGGTTTGCGAATCCATATGACTGAAAGGGTGGCAGCACCCTCAATGAAATAACAAAATTGGAAGTTCCATTTTGAACACATTGGTTTGAGGTGTCTGTGGGACATCCAGTAGGAGGTGTCTAACAAGCAATAAGTGATGGGAAATTGGAGAATCAGGAGAGAGATTACAACTGTGTTTAGATTTGAAAGTCATCTTTGAAAAGGTTTTTGTGAGGATCGAGAGATTGTAAAGCACAGCACAGTGCCTGGCACATAGTAAGTGCTATATAAATGTTAGCTATTATTATTATCATCTGCACAGAAATTACAAAATCCTTTCTCTAGTATTCCCTTCGATGATCCTTCATTGCCTCACTTGTCTCCTCCAAGAAGCACCTTCTGCTCTGAACCTGCTCTGATCTCTTCCTTCTTTGAATTTCTATCTTTAGCAGCCACATGCCCTGGATTTTCCAGGACAGACCTAATTCTGAAAAGAATGTGTACTTTTAGTGAGGCTCTGTAAGAGGAAGATCCTTTGTCAGGTTCTATGTCCCAATTTTTTGGTTTTGGAAAATATGGTCATTTTACCTGTTACACTCCTATTCACCACCATACAATTGTTCTCCAGTTGTTTTATGTATATTAGTTTTATCTTTTCAGATTTTCAACTCCTTAAGCACAGAAACTGTGGCTTATGTTTTTCTTATAATCCTCATAGTAGTTAGCACAGTTCTGAGGACATGAGGGGTTCAGTAAATACTTGTTGAATGATGACAAAGGCAAAGTAACATAACTTAAAATGACATAACAAACATAAAAGAGCAGAAGGGTCCAAGGCCAAACTCCAGTGAGAAGTAGCCCCACAGCCATGGGCAAGACCTTGAGGCTTTAGGAAATGGGAATAAGACATCTATTAGCTGTGTCACAGTTTCTTAGGGAGGAAACACTTTGCACACTAACAAGTCCTGTATAAATGTACAAGCATAGTAGAATGGAGTGAAAAGAAAGTGACACAGGATGGATTTAGCTGACACAGACCCATGTGGGGGCAGTGTGCCCAAAGCAGCATGCAGAGAAGCAAGGGTCAAGTGAAGTAGACCTCAAGGAAGCCAGCTAAATTATATCCATTGTGCTGAAATCCTCACAGGGACTCTTGTGTGGCTCCCGGAGGGGAATAAGAGAACCCCCTAGTCTGGAACAGATCTCAGTGGGGAGGACTCCCCAGTGACAAAATGCTGTCGAGACCAAAGCCAGGAGAGTCCGAAGCGGACTTGTTGCGATTCCAGAATCAGTTCCTTTCTTCAGGGGCTACCCCAGCTGTACGAATAGCAAAGAAGGTAAACAAGAAGGACAGATATGTTGATGAGGACCCGCCTGTTCTGCAGGATCAGCGGGATGTGGTAACATTAGACAGTAAGTTGTCACGTCACAGGGATGGAGTGGAGGGATGGGGTCAGCGTTCGTCCTTTGGGCCTCTGTTTCCTGAATATTTACTCTTCTCTTCTCTTCTCTTCTCTTCTCTTCTCTTCTCTTCTCTTCTCTTCTCGTCTCTTCCACTCTGTTCTCTCCCTTTCTTCTCTTCCCCCCCGTCTCTCCCCTGTCTCTTTTTCTCCTTTCCTTTCCTCTCCTCTTACCCCCTTCCATCAGACTCACCACATCATCTGTTACTATAACTCTTTCCTTCCGGGTCCCACAGTGCCTCTGCCTACTGTAGACAACTGTCCCTTTTCTTGCTCTGAACTCTTAGTTTGCTAATTTGCATCATAATCTTCTCTCAGCCCTGATTTCTTGGGAAGGGCTGGGGGTCCTTATGTTTGTTTGTTTTTTGTCTTGTCAGAGCTTCCAGATTTACCCCCCACTCTAGTCCCTGCTCCTCCAAAGAAGGCCAGGCCTAGTCCACGCTTCACGCTGTCTGAGGACCAAGACCCTGAGGACAGGCTAGATCAGCATGACCAGCATATCACAGCTGTCTTCACCAAAATTATTGTGCGTCTTGCCCCTGCCTTTGTTGGGAAAAAAGAATCTGGACTGGGGGCAGTGCTAGAAGTTCTCTAGTTCTCCTTGTTACAGGAAGGGAGGGAGAACCATTTTAAGAAGTCTATATTTTTTTCTCCTGCCAGGCAGAATACAGGGTAGGCACCACTCTATTTGCAAGGGTGAAGGGTGAGGATTTGCTTCTCATCTGTGGTCCTGCTTTTCAGTGGGATTAGAGATCACCAGTGGAGTCTTTACCTCTTTAGTAGATTTTGTTTTGCTTCCCCAGGAACGTGATACCAGTGCAATGGCTGTGACCATGCCTCTTCCCAGTGGAGTGGCTTTCCCCTGTGTTTTCCATCGCTCACAGAAAGGCACCCAGGTAAACAAAGATGGGATCCCAGGCAGATGGTAGGAACAGGTAAGGGAGATGGTTGAACCTCTGTGGGAAGCTCGGCTAGGAAGCCATTTCTTTAGACTGCCCTGCCTTCCCCAAGGGCTATAGTTGTGGTCCTCCTAGGCTGAGTACAGCTTCTTATACTTTGTCCTAGAGACACCTTAGTGGAAGCATGGTAGCCACTATTAGCCTAGCTTTTTTTCCCTGCTCCCCAGGGGAAAACAGCAACATCTGGAAAGAGAAGCATTTTTGCCCAGGAGATTGCAAAAAGGAGGAAGGCTGAGGCAAACAGCACACCGATGGAGATGTCCATACCTACCCAGGGCCAACAGGAAGGTGAGTTTTCATCTATGAGGCTCTTTAGAATGAGAACTTTCCGGGATATATTTGTGGCTATACTCTTTTCTCTTCCCATTTGGAGCGGGCTTTGGGACCAGCCATTGTGGCATATGCCTGTAATCCTTACTACGATGGTGTCTGAGGTGGATGGATCGCTTGAATTTGGGAGTTCTGAGCTCTAGTAGGGCTACAGCAGATCAGGTTTCTGTGCTAAGTTGACACAAATGTGGTGTGTACTGGGAACAGAGAGCCACCAGGCTACTTAAGGAAGGGTGACCCTGCCCAGGTCAGAAAAACAGCCCTGGGACTGGGGTTGGATCTCAGTAAGGAATTGTCTCCCTGTCCCTGCTTAAACTCCCATGCACAAGGGAGATAATAACTCTGAACATGGGTTCAATATTGCGTCCTAAAAGAGAAAAGGCAAGAAATTATCTGGCTATTGGAGAAGTCTAAGGTAATAAGTGAACCTCTTTCCAAAATTGTAGTGACAGTGATGTGAGCGAAGGATTCCTTCCTTCATCTCTCAAACTGCTGGTAACAGTCTGGGGTCAGATTTCAGCCCATAAGGTGTGGAGGAGAAACCTCCAGAAACAGGTTGAGCTGAGAGCCAGCCAGTGTGGCAGAGCGAAAGGGGAGCTGGACGTGGAAAGACAAAATGAGCTGATGGAAAGTGAAGTAAGCCGATTATGCCAATGTAAACACAATAAGATGAAACCGAGTGCTGTGGATGGTGCTGATGCAGAGTGGCTCAGAAGATGGGCAGGAAACAGTGCATTACCATCAGACACAGTTGGCATTGTTGTTGGATTTCCTGAACTGTTTTTCTTTTCTGTTTAAATCTTTGCCACAAGGCAAGGCTTGCTGCAGCTTGTACCCCTTGAAAGACAGGTGAAGATTCAAAAATAAATAGGATGTTAAGTCAAAAGGCATCAATTAATAATTTTTTAAAGAAAGAAATGTGTACTGTACTTTGAGGTGGCAGAGACCTGGGTTGAAATCCTGCCTATGGCACTGACGCCTTTGTGACCTCAGGCATCGCTAAAGTTCTTGGTTCCTCATCTGTGAGTTGGGCCTAATGCTGTCTCGAGTACTTACCTCACTGGGTTATTGTCAGGATCCATGGAAAGAGTGTCTAGGAGATGCTTTTTAAGCACCTTTTCATGCACTGTATATAAAGCAGCCATTCTGTGGTCCCAGCCTCTAGGAAACCCTGTGTCTAATGAGACATGTCAGGGGTGAGAGGGAGAGAAGTAGCTACTGAGTGAGTGTGAGGATCTGACGGTTTCACAGAAGTGGGTGGGCCTAAGGGCAGTGTGATAACGCTACCCCTCCTCTTTGAGGCGTCTCAGAACCCCTGATCCCCTTTCTAGACTCAGGTCAGATGCCATCTCTTGCAGAGGACATTTTGGTTGTCATTTCTTATCTGTCCCTTCACCCAGATTAATTTGTGTTTATTTTATATTTACTTAGTAGTTTACATGTTGTTTCCTCCTAGCAGAATGCAAGCTTTTTTGAAGGTAGGAGTTGTTCTTATTTTTGTCCTTGCAGCCCCATTGCCTAGTACAGTGTCTGGCACACAGTAGGTGCTTAATAAATGCTTATTGAATTGAATTGAACCGTCAACCTTTTTCAGGATCCCTGACATCTAAGGCACTAGGACTTAGGGTGGAGGGCTCGTGTGTTCCAGAGACTGGCAAGAGTTCCCAGGGGCCCCAGCTCATCACTGGAGAGGGCCTCCAGAGTCAGGATGCCAGGCGTGAGATCCAGACCATCCATGAGGAGAACTTGGCAAAGCTGCATGCCTTGGGCCCAGAAGAGATCCTTCAGGAGCAACAGAGGCTGCTTGCCCAGCTCGGTAGGGGGATGGATCAGGGCCCTCTCAGCTGGAGCTCTCCTGGGAACTCAGCTTTCGTAATGTTGAAAGACTGGTCACATTGATTAGTTGGGAGGAAGTGAGAGGGATGTTCATCCTCCTAAAGATGACTTCTTCCATAAAGCCCTTCTCTTTGTCCCTGTTAATGAGCTGTGTGGGATTGGTGGCTGAATGGGGAAAGAGCAGGGAGCCCACATAATATAAGAAGGCTAGGGCTGCTGCTGTGTGGAGAATTATTTTATTCTCAGCGCTCATGGGTAGAAACACAAGAGACCATGTCATCTAGAAGTCAGTCAGAGATGTGTGGTCTCTCCATTCTCCCTGCCTGCCCTTCCCTGTGCCTCCCAGATCCCGGCTTGATTGCTTTCCTGAAGTCGCGGCGTAGCCCTGCTGGTCAGGCGGGAGTTGAAAGTATGGAAGAAGAGAAGTCGGGAACTGTTGTTCACAAGACCCCCGAAGAGGAGCCAGTGGGGCCGCCACCTCCCAGTGGGTACAAGTGGACACAGCCAGAGCTGGCCACCTCAGGTTTGGAGGAGTAAGGGAAAGAGCACCCCATATCCCAGACCTGTTAGAAGGGCAAAGAGAAAACATGCCCGTCCTGGGTGGCCAGCCCCAGCCCCACCGCAGAATGTGCTTAGTAGGTGTGCGTGTCCTCTTCACTTTGCCTCCTGCTGCGTCTCTCCTACTTTATCTGCTCTAGTGTCTCGAGAAGAATCACCACAGCATAAGAGCCAGGACACTGACCAGGAATCCGATCTTTTGGGATGTCTTTAATCCCCGTTAGAGCTGGATGCCTGGACTGGTTCCACCCCTGGGGTCCCTTCTGCCCTTGCTTTTGGTGGGGGTGGGGAAAGGATGTTGCCATCATGAGCCTGACTTGGATCTGTGCATGTATGCTAGACCAGAAGCAGAGGGGCCAATGGGAGCAATCATTTTCCAGGAACAGGATGATTTCATTAGTAATTAACAAAAGAACAAACCTAATTACTGGCGCTGGGAACCTCCTGCCCCTAGCACAGCCCAAGGGCAGCTGGGCAGGACTGGCAGGAGATTGAGGGATGGAGAGAAGACAGAGATTATGTCTCTGTGGGTTTGGGGGTGGAGGAGGGGAGTGACTATCCTGCTCCTATAATGTACAATGTCTTCCTTTCCCCTAACCCCAATACACACATGGTGTCCATATTGTATTCTGGCTCCTGGGCAGGAACTTAGATCAGTGGGCATGGGGAGAATGACAGCCATGCTTCTCCAAGCACCATTTTATTCCTCCACTTCTTTTTTTTTTTTTAAATTCCTCTTCTTCTCAAAGGGTTGCTAGATCTCTTTAGAGTGGGTTCAGCAAGAAGTGCTGCTCTCCCATGAGGCAGTCTCAGGGACTTCAGATGAGTGAGACCATTGGCTGACAGGAGTTGTCTGTGTCTTAGTTGGGGCTGGGTGTAGTACTTTCCAACTTTTGATTCAATCCCCTCTAGTAAGGTGAAAACCTTGGAGTCTGGCCCCCAGTACCTTAAAGAGATGATCTAACCCTTTGCTCCTCCCCAGCTCCAGAATTGCCTGTGACCCCTCACAAGGAGTGGCTTCACATGGATGCCGTGGAGTTGGAAAAGCTTCAGTGGACTCAGGATCTGCCCCCACTCCGGCGGCAGAAAACCCAGGAGGTGAGGAGGGAGGGCCCAAGAGATTTCTCAAGAAGGTAAGACTAAATAGGGGGGACATATAGTGACAATTTCTGCTTCTTCTTGGCTGGAAACAAATTTCTTGTCTCTTCTGTCACCTCCCTGGCTTGGACCTCTAGCCTGGAAGAGGAGTTTGATTCCTGACTTACTGAGAAGATGAAGGTGGAGGATTACAGTGTATTAGGTGTGAGGAGGAGGAGGATGCTGGCACCTCGGGCCACAACCCTTTCTTTCTTTCTTTGGATCAGGGAATGCAGCAGGCACGTTTCAGTCTCCAGGGAGAGCTGCTGGCCCCTGATGCTGACCTGCCCACTCATCTGGGCCTGCATCATCATGGCGAGGAGGCAGAGGTGAAGCCTGGGCCCAGGGATATGGAGTCATGGGAGCTATGCTGGTGGTGTGCCTGGGGGAGCCTTGCCAAGGGTTTTTAACATTGATAGTGTAGGGGAAGCACCCTCTGGTTCTTTGCCATCATGGAGCCGGGGATGCCAAGAAGCCCCAGGCTGGGCCTGAGTATCAGTTTTATCAATTCATCTCCTTCCAGAGAGCAGGATACTCCCTTCAAGAGATATTCCATCTGGCCCGTAGCCAGATCTCCCAGCAGAGAGCACTGGCCCTGCAGGTGTTGGCCCGAATCATCTCTAAAGTGAGTGAGCCTTCTCTCCCTCCCCCTGCTACTTCCTCTCTCTCTCAGTTCTTTTCTCTCTCTAGTGTCCTGCCTCTTTTTATCCTATCTCACTAATTCAGAAAAATTCCTTCATGTGAGTTAGCATGAGAAATGAGGGGAGCAGGGACCAGGGCGCAGGGTGCCGAATAGAAAGACTGAAGACCTGTTGAGGTCATTGTCTTCTCTGAGAATTCTCCTCTCCTTCCCAACCTTTTCCAGGCCCAGGCAGGTGAATTTGGGGGTCAGCTGACAGACAGTGTCCTGCGCCTCCTATTGGATGCTGGTTTCCTCTTCCTGCTGCGTTTTTCATTGGATGACAGTGTGGACAGTGTTATTGCAGCTGCTGTGTGGGCACTACGGGCTCTATTGGTGGCCCCTGGAGACGAGGTAACCTTTGGTTATAGAAACACTTCCTCCTCACTTAGAGGAGATGCAAAGGAAAGAGTCAGATATAGGTGGAGGGTAGCACGGAGATACACATGTTCCCTTCTCTTGTGGTCGTTGGGCTGAAGAGATGGGTTGAACCCCTCCATCATGTCAGCGGGACAGAACTCTTTCCATAATGGATTTGCCTCATTCCAGGTTCCCTGCCTTGTCCTTCCCTTTCTTTGTAAGTAGTCCTGTACACAATAGTCACTGAGTTTAGATGTCCCCGGGAAGCACAGGACAGTAGCCTTGCTCTGGAGTCCAGATTAGAAGGACTACTCTCATCTTCATACATTTCCTCTTCTGGCAGGAACTCCTGGACAGCACCTTCTCCTGGTATCAAGGAGCAGCTGTATTTCCCTTGATGCCATGCCAAGAAGAAGAAGAGGAGGAGGATGAAGAAACCCCCGCAGAAAAAGCAAGAAAGAAGAACCCCCAAGAGACCCAGCCCCCACCAGATCTGGCCCGACGTGATGTTATCAAGGTATGGATGACTGGGAGCCAGATTGGTGTCTGTGCCAACAGTAGACCTGAGGCTGTAGGGGTGCATGCATCAGAAAAGGGCTGAGGAGGAAATGGATGTCCCTAGCACTTAGGAAGCTTTGGCTTCCTTGAATTACTGTTTTTGTCAGTATTTCTGTCTCCTTTGACCCCACCAAGGGTCTCCTGGCTACTCAGCTGCTGCCTAGACTTCGATATCTACTTGAGGTGACCTACCCTTCACCCACTGTGGTCCAGGACATTCTTGCTGTCCTGATCCGAGTGGCACGGCACTCTCTAGAGTCAGCCACAAAGGTAATGAAAAGCAGGGGTGGGGGGGGTGTAGATGGGGGAGGGATGTAATCAGAATCTGTACCTTGATTCCCAGTGTCTTGGTCCTGCCTCCTCTAGGTCCTAGAGTGCCCTCGGCTAATAGACACCCTGGTTCGAGAGTTCTTGCCCTCAAGCTGGTCACCTGTGGGAGAAGGACCAGTTTCGCGACTACATGGCATGCCCTGTGCTGCTGCTATGAAGCTGCTCCGTGTCCTGGCATCAGCTGGAAGGAATATTTCTGCCCGCTTGGTAAGCAAGACATGAAGGCCAAAACTAGGAATAGACAGCAGAGAATGGGTCACTGAAAAACAAGATTGAGAAAGCCCATCTGAGTGTAACAATTAAAATGTAAGAGTCGTCCCTGTCATTTAAACCAGGGCTCAGATCCTACACTCTCTCTCTTCCTCCTGTAAAACTTGAAAAGATCCACTGAGTAGGAACCATATTGAGTAGATTTGAAAGCTTTTCTCAGGCCCACCCATCTTGTGATTGTCAGAATTCAGGTGTGTTTCACTCTAACTACATTAGATGTAAGAGGCTGCTTATGGGAAGACCATTGGTGCTCCCCTAGACCAGAAGGGAGCAGGCACTTCTTATTTTTTTAAATAAGTTTTTACTGATGTCTTCTGTTTTTTCAGTCATCAGAGTTATCCCCAGTATCCTTCCTCCTCCTCTTCCTCCTCCTCCCAGAAGCCATCCTGTATGACAAATTTTTTTTTTATCAGCACAATTGATCAATACATTGAAAAAGGTCCAAAAGGTGCAATGTCTAACACCTGTGGACTTGTTTGGGATTGTCCTCTCTTATCTCTTCAAATCCTGCTTAATATCTATAATTTTGTTGTGTTCACTTTTGAATTTTTGGTGTGTTCTTTCCATTTACGTTGTTGTAGTCACTGTGTATGTTGTTTTCTTGGCTCTGCTTACTTCACTCTTCATTAGTTTATGCAGATCTTTCTATGCATCTCCGTATTCATCACACACATCATTTCTTACAGCACAGTAACATTCACGTACCACACTTCATTTAGCCATCTCCCAGCTGATAGTCGTCTATTTTGTTTTCATTTCTTTGCGGTTGAGTCAGGCACATATAAATATATATTCATCTCTCACCTGGAGCTAAAAACTTTTGTCTAGATCAAGTCCTGCCAATACCCTTCTCCTGCTACTGGACTCCTTTGCATAGATCTTTATGCTCCCCATATATAGTGCTTATGTAGCCCTATAGAGTGCATATATAGCCCTAAAAATGTGAATGAGTGAATGAATGAATTAATCTTTGCCCCTTACACCTGAAATGTCACATCAGAATGGAGAAAGGAAAGGTCAAGGCCCTGCTATGGAAATTAAGCTTTTTGCCCTTTTTGAACCACTCCCTCTGAGTAGAAGGGGTGTGTTATCCCTGATATCCCAATGGAAGAATTGGAGTTCTGATCTGTCTTCCGGTCTCTGGGTGCTATTCCTAGATGAGTGGCTTTGATCTTCGAAGTCGTCTGTGTCGCTTTGTGTCTGAGGCCCCCCAGGAATTGGCCATGCCCATCCAGGAGGCTGAGCAACTGAACACTGAGTCCTTTAGGCTCTGGGCAGTAGCTGCTACCTATGGCCAGGGTGGAGATCTTTACAGGTGAGAAATATTCTGCTTCAGGCAGGGAACATCTTCTTTGGCTGTTCCCATACAGGTCTGGAATGAATACTGGGGACCCCAGCCAGTTTCTCTGTCTATCCCATGCTCAGGTATTATCTGGAGGGTGTGAGTAAGATTTGGGGAAGCTATTTGCATATGTATGGCAGGGATCATGGAAATTAGAGCTGGAGAAGACTGAAGAGATTGGCTGGGTAATGCAGTGGATAGGAAGACCTGAGTTAAAATCCAGCCTTAGACACCTACCCTAGGCAAGTCACTTCACTTCCTTTTGACTTAGTTTCCCCACCTGTAAAATGGGGATAATAACAGTACTACCTTGCAGGACTGTTGTGAGGATCAAGAGATAATCTTTGTAAAGTGCGTAGTGCACCTTAAAGCACTCTATAAATGCTAGCTAACTATTATTGTTAGTTTGTCCCTCTTTTGCAGGTGAGAAAAGGGAGTCCCAGAGAAGTGAAATGACTTCCTCTAGTCCCCCAGCAGAGCGAGCATTTGGACCAGGTCTCCTGACTCCAAAACCAGTGCACTCTGCACTGTGGAGATCCTGCTTTGGGCTCCCCCTACACACCCCTGCACACCCCTGCACACAGTCTGTGGGTGCACTATCCCAGTGCGAAGGCATGACACCTTTTTTATTTGCATGTAAAAAGTGCTGAATACCTGTTTGTCAAGTCGAGTTGAAGGGAAGCCTTGGGAAAGATGTGTACAACCTGAGGGATGTGGTCCCTCTGCTTCTATCCAGTTAATTCTTGACCTTCTTCAGGACCAGCTTAAGACCCATCTCCTTCCTGAAGTCTTCCTTCCTGTCCCTCCTCCGCTCCCTGGAATTTCTGCAGAGCTTACTCTGTACCACTCACTTGGTGTTTGATCGGTACTGGAGTGATTACACCTCATGTCCTTCCAGCTGGGTAGCAAGCCTTTTGACGGCAAATGTTGGGTCTTTTGCCGGTTCGTGTTTCCAGAACTAAGCACAGGGCCCTTCATACAATAGGCATTTGATAAATACTGGATGGTGTCTTCTCCCCTTCTTTCTTTACCAGAGAACTCTACCCAGTGCTGATTCGGGCCCTTCAGGCACTACCCCAGGAGTTGAGCGTCCGGCCCCACAGCCGACTGGCCATGCATCGAATCTCAGCCTTAATCACCTTGCTCACCCGCTTGACCCAGATATCAGGCAGCAGCAACACAGAACTCCATGCCCCAGCCAGCACGTGAGTCTGCACCTGTGAGCCTGCTCCAGGGGTGGGTCCTACCTGCTTCCCTCCAATACTTCTAGATTCCTGGAGCACTTGGGTAGAGATAGAAGAAGGGAACTGTAAGCCTTCACTTTGCACCTGTTTCTTTTGTCCTTACAGTAACCCTGCTGAGTCCAACCTGTCGCCTGTCTCTCCCTCAATCACTTGGGTGCAAGTGTCTGGGCTCCGTCCTCTCATAGAACCAATTCTTCGACAAGTCCTGAAGGAGCTGCCCCAGCCTGACACTTGGAGGGCCCTGGTCCCACTGCCCACTGCCTGCCTGCTCTACCTAGCAGCCCACTATCAGGCCTGGAGTCATCAGGTGAGCCCCTACTTGTACTGAACTCCATGTCCCACCTGTGAGTAGTTCACCTTTTTTTCCCCCCTCTTACCTCTTTCTGTCTCCCCTATGCCTAGTGAACTTCAAAGGAGCATGTTGGGTATACCTGGAAGACCAGGGTCATCTTTTCAATTTTCTAACTGTTTAGCTGTCATGGACTATGAATGTTTGGGGCCTGGGGCCAAGAGAGGCCCCTGGATATTTCATTCTCAGGGTGAAAAGCCTGGAACTCCTCCCTACTTTATTTTATTCTGTTGGTAGACTAGGGTTGATTCCTGTCCTCTTCAACCAACCAACCAACCAATCCAGGAGGCTAAGGGTGTAGAATTGAGGGTGAAGAAGGAACTTAGGACACCAGCCTTTCCAGCAGGGTTGATGACTTCCTCTCTGTTCAGCTAATTTTAGTATTTCTTGGTTCCTTCCAGCCAAAGCTGTGCCCTGGAGAATGTCTTCAGGATGTGGAGCGACTTTCAGAGGAGTTGGTATTGCCCCTGCTGAGTCAGTCTACCTTTCAGGGCCTATGGGATTCACTCAGGTATAATTGCCTGAAGCAAGGCCCCATCTCCCACATGGTATCTTTCACTTGTCTCACTTGTCCTGCCTTTGAGGACAGTACAGCCTTTGAGTGCTGAGATCTTCTGGGAAGAAGTCTGAGCATAGACATATGCAACGTGGCTGCATATTCACTATGTCCCCAGATACTGCCTGAAGAGCTCCTACTCTGGGGAGCTGGGTGTGCTTTGGGGGGCAGGCCTGGACTGTAGGCCCTTGTGTGTCTCAGCAGAGCCCATATGGCCCCCCAGTAGATCTTAGCCACAAGTCCTAGAAGGAATGGCCTTCCTTCACAGAAGCTCCTGCTTCAGCCTTGGTCCCATATCCATTTCTTTTCAAGGGAAGATGCCAGGAAAAAATAAAACAAAACCCTGTCTTCTCTCATCCCTGCCTTTTTTCAGTTCAGTGCGTTTATACACACATTCATCAAGGTGCCGTGCTAGGTGCTGGGAATACAACACCAAAAACATGAGTCTCTGCTCTCAAAGAGCTTGCATTCTGCTGGAGGAGTGGGATAGGTATATGGATAAGTAGAGAAAAGGTCATTAGAAGAGGGAGAAGAGAATATTAACATTTGGGTGGGGGAAGGATTGTATAAAGGTGGCATCTGAGCTGAGCCTGGAAGAGAAGGATTCTGAAGGCAGAGATGGGGAGGAGAAAGTACTTTCCAAGTATGAGGGACAAAGCCTGAACAGAAACATAGGCAGGAGAAAGACTGTCTAGTTTGGGGGACAGTTCAGGTTACTTTTAATATAGAGAATATTGTGAAACGGGAATAATGTGGAATTGGTTGGTAAGATAGTAGCTAGCCTAGGGAAGGCCTTTAAAAGCCTTTTGGGAGAAGCATTGGGAACTGCTGAGGATTTCTGAATCAGGAGAGTAATGCGATCACATCTGGGCCTGAGGAAGGCTTTTTGGGTAGTTGTATGAAGGATGCATTAGAGAGGGGAGAAACTGGAATCAGGAAGAAGAGTTGGGAAGCTGTTGCAATAATTGCCCGGGTGACCGGTGGTGAGGGGAAGTGTGCGTGAAAAGGGGGTGAATGTGGGGGAAGCTGCAAAGGCAACATGAGCACGTCTTGGTGACGGGTTCAGTGTGGGATGTGGGAGGGAGGACAATGAAGAATGAATCACAAGTTGGGAAGTGAGAGATTGGTGGTGGCCTCCATGGAAAAAGGGAACTCTGCGGGAGGGTGTGCTTGGAAGGATGAAGAGGAATCAGTTTCCTTTTGGACCTGGGAAGTTTTGAGATGCCTGCAGCATGTCTCCAGGGGATGTCCAACAAGCGTTTGGTTATCCTGGACCAGAGTTCAGGAGAGTAGTTAGCCCGAGGATGTAGAATTGAGAGTCATGTGCGTATATGGAAGCTGATAGGTCACCAGAGGAGAGACAAGAGAGAGAGGAGTAGGTCCAGATAGAACTTCCAGGGACAACCGTCATGTGGAGTGCTTTTAGGGAGTCTGATTCGGGTCTTTGTTCTGCTGTTGGCAGGCGCTGCTCCCTGCTCTGCAATCCTCTGTCCTGTGCCTCAGCTCCAGAGTCCATCCCTAGCCTTGTCTCCCTGGGTTGTGGGGGAGGCTGTCCCCCACTCAGTCTGGCTGGATCATCTTCAGCCTTCCCTTTCCTTACCTCCCTCCTCTCTCTTCTCAACACCCTGGCCCGAATTCACAAGGGGCTCTGTGGCCAGGTAAGTCCTTGGACAATGAGTTTTCTGGATGGGGGTTTGGATCTCGAGCTCAGTAGATGAAAGTAAGGGAGAAAGAAGAGGGCAAGTGGGCAAGTAAGATAGATTTCCGTTCTGTCTTGCCCTCTCTTGGGATTAGACGGAAGGGAGTGGTGCATACCAGGAAGCCTTGGGAAGGCATAAAAGCTGGGTCCCAGAGGTTGAGCACGTTCCTTCCACAGCTTGCTTCAGTGTTGGCTGCCCCAGGGCTCCAAGATTACCTGCTTCATTGTGGAGCACCCTCTCGTGCCCCGCGACTCACTCCATTCTTGGCATGGGCTCTGAGACATGAATACCACCTCCAATACCTGGTGCTCACCCTGGCACAGAGAACGGTAGGTCTAGGTTTTTCCCCCCTTGTTCTTTCCCCTTTCTTACCTTCATCTCACCTGTGATTTTAACCTTCCTGCTACCTCCACTCACTTTGCTGTTTACATTGGTTCCTCTTGCTAGCTTTCCCCTTCCCCAGCCCTATCAGAATCCTTCTCTCTACCTTGCTCCAATGCAGTCAAACCTTTTCCCTGTCCTCTGTCGAGTATGAAACCAAACCCCCAAGTTTGTATCGGCCTTGCCCCTCTCTGCTTCCGCTCTTACTTCCCAGCCTTCCTTGTGTCTTCTGCTCTGCAGGCTGGGCTCAGGCCAGATCCAACCCCAGATGCCATTCTCTATCACACTGTGGCACTGACACTCATGAGTCACCTGCTGCCAGGCAGTGAGTACCTGGCCCATGAGCTGTTGTTGGGCTCTGTCTTTCAGCCAGAATTTCTCCCGTAAGTCTGGGGCTTGCTGAGGAGGAGCATGACTGGGGGGTGGAGTTGGGGAGCCTTGAGGAAGCTGTGCCTCTTTGGGTTGTATCTCAGGGATGGTGGGGGCTGTTTGCTACCCTAATCTTCTCTCCTTGTTTCATCGTGCTGCAGGGAAGGAGCTTCAGGAGGGCCTGAGGCGGCTGACTTTTCTGACAAGCTAAACCTGGGCAGCAGCCAGAGGCCTGGATCAGGACGAGGGTCCCTACTGGCAGAAGCATGTCAGGACCTGCCAGGCATTCGGGGCTGCTACCTGGCACATTGCACACTGCCCTGCCCTGCCCTGCTGCATTCCCAGGCCCTGTACCAGGGAGAACCCCTTCACATTCCTTCGTTGCTACTCCCCGTGCCAAAGGAGCCACTGCTGCCTGCGGACTGGCCCTTCCTCCCTCTCATTCACCTCTACCACCAGGCTTCTGGCCCTGTCTCTAAGGCCCTACCCCCCAGCTCCTTGGGCATAGCCACTCATGCCCTGCAGTGGGTGCTGGTCCTAGAGAGCTGGCGCCCTTCCAGCCTCCAGGTGATACCTCCTGCCGCCCGCCTGGCAAGGCTTATGTGTATATTCCTGATGGACAGTGACCTGTTTCGTGAGGCCCCCATCCAGCGCTACGTCATGGCCCTGCTTGCCCAGCTTTGCCAGCCCCAGGCACTGTCTCTCCTGAAGCTGGACTGTCCCTTGCCTGGCCTGGCCTCCTTCCCCGACCTCTACACCAGCTTCCTCGAGCATTTTGAAGCCGTCTCCTTCGGGGACCGTCTCTTTGGCACACTGGTTCTTCTTCCCTTGCAGCGCCGATACAGTGTCACCTTACGCCTTTCCCTTTTTGGGGAACATGTGGGAGCCCTTCGAGCCCTTGGATTGCCCCTTTTCCAGGTAATCAACTGACCAGTCACCAACAGTTGTTGAGCTCCTCTCATGTTTGAGCCCTTTTGAACATTGTAGGTCCCAGAAAGCACAGAACCCACAGTCCTGCCCATGAGGAGCTTATAGTCCACCTGAACACAGTAGACAACAAAAGGCCAATAGTGCTGCTGAATTACATGGTTCTGACTATCAGTGCTGTGGGATTGCCGAGTAAGAGACATGAATGGAAGCTGCAGTAGGCAAGGAAGGGTTCATACAAAGTGTCCCAAAAGTCTTGGTGCAGACTTAAGCGACTGAAGCTTTAAAACAAAAACAAAACTACACCAAGACTTTGGGGAAACCTTGTCTAGAGGTTATGGAGCATGGGCTCGATCTGGACCTTGAAGATCCTGGCCTGATCAGAACTAAGTTCCAAGGCTGGGGAACAATAAAGAATGGGGGCCAGGTTCTGAAGGGCCTTGGGTTGCGTTGCTCCCTCCTGTAGGCAACAAGGGAGCCAACTGTACATTCCTGAGCATGGGAGTATTTCTGTGGGGAAGAGTGTTGTGCTGGTGGCGTACAGAAGGAATTTGTCACTGCATCTCTCAGAACTGCCTGTCCTCACTCTGTAAGGCAGCACCAGCTCCAGCCATGGTCTCAATCCACGTCAGAGCCAGAGTCCCTGTGGCTGGGCTTTCATGTGGCTATCAGTTTTCTTGTCAGAAGTAGAGTTCGCTTCCTGGTTCTGAGTACTTGCCCCTGGCCCTGAAGTGCTTTCCTTCAGAAGAGGAGAGGGAATTGGGGTCAGCTGCATAGAACCAGTTTCATTGCCCAGTGTCTTCTTTATCCCTTACAGTTGCCTGTGGCCCTGGAAAACTATACAGCACCCCCAGAAGACAACCTGGAGCTCCTGAAACTTTATTTCCAGGCCCTGGTGATGGGTACTTTATGCCCACACTGGTGTCCTGTGCTCTATGCTGTGGCTGTGGCCCATGTCAATAGCTTCATCTTCTCCCAGGACCCAAAGAGCTCAGTAGGTTATAACCTTATTTCAGTAGGGCATTATGATGGGGAAGGAGCTGATGACTTAGCTATCCATGACTTAGTCTCCAGATCCTTTGAGGAGGGCATGGGGTCCAGCTCCAGAGGGGAAGAGCAGTGCTAGGTGGTTAAGAAGGATTTGGGGGCAGCTGGGTGTTGCAGTGGATAGAACACTGGCCCTGAAGTCAGGAGGACTTGAGTTCAAATCTGGCCTCAGACCAAACACTTGACACTTACTAGCTGTGTGACCCTGGGCAAGTCACTCAACCCTAATTGCCTAAAAAAGAAGGATTTGGTATTTGGTGGTGTTGGGAGGAGATGTCCTTTCCTGCATCCTAATGAGATCTTCCACAGCTCTGTCCGTGTCTTCATTCTTCTAGGACATGGCGATAGCCACCAGCAAGTGGATGCTCCAGAAGACATGGCTGCTGGCCAATGAGGTGGGTGAGGCAGAGGTGGGGACAAAAGAACCAGGAAGCATCCCAGAGGGAGAGCAGGGTTTTAGGAGGCAACAGGCCAGGAGGGTAGTTGTTTCCTCCTGCTCACGTGGCTGTCTCTGTCATTTTTCTCAGTGTCTCAAGCAGCACCTTCTCTACTACAAGCTTCCCAATGTGACCCTGCCTGAGGGCTTTGAGTTGTACCCTCAGTTACCTTCTTTGCGACAAAACCGCCTTCAGGATGTAACCAATGGACTACTCAAGGATGGGGTGCCAGAGTCTTAGTGCCACAGCCTGCAAATGGACAGATGACCATGTTCTCCTGGGGACCCCAAGAAGGATTCACTTTCCTAAGTGTGTACAGATGTCCTTGATGTCCTAGAGAGATGGGATCATCTCCAAGAGTCAGTCCAACAGAAAAACTTGTCCTGCAGAGACAAGAGCAGGAGGCCTCCTTCAGGCTCTGCTGGGAGCCTGATGGACTGATGCACTTACTGGGTCTCAGACATCCTTGTTTCTGAGGATGACTGAGCCGCGTTCCCTGCGCTGGGGCAGCCGTGAGGGGTAGGCCGGCCAAGCTGTACCTCCTCTAAGACCAGGGTCTGATAGTTCAGTGGCTGTGTGTATGCACTGAAATAAATAGTTTCTTCCTTTATACTCTTCTGGCCACATGACTTCCTCTTATGGCGATCGTTGGTGCCCGTGATGTGCAGCAGCATCATTTCAGAGTTAGGGATGGCTGCAGATCCCTTGGCTCTGTCCGCCACGGCCAGATGAACCTGTGCTTGGACAGGCACATCTCTGGCCCTGCATTCTCTGATCAGACCACTTTTTATTGATAATTAAGTGCTGTAGAGTCTGGGTTTGGGGACAGTGCTGTCCATACCTCTGTTTTAGATTTCCCGTTGTTGTTTATCTCTATCCATGTCTTTTCCAAGTGGATACTTTATCAGGACCTGTTTGTTTCTAGGAAGGTGGTCAAAGGATGAGTAAAAGCAAGTGGTGGGAGGTTGTAATGAGCAATAAGGGATAAGTTGTGCTTCTCAGCATTTGGGCTACATTAGGAATCATACAAGTGAAGGTTAAGGACTGCTCAGGAGGGAAGATAAGGGGTTACTTGGGCCACATCTGGAATGAGGAGAGCAAGAACATGTGGCCAGCTGTTTTGCCCCATAAGCCCACCCTCAGGATTGGAAGCTAGTCCTGATCAGTGGTGGCTGTCATGAGCACGAGAGTGCCTTCTTAAGTGTAAATCACTGCTTCTGGATCTTTTTCCCAGGCCTACATGAAATTAGCTATCTCAGCAGCCCAATTGGAGTCATAACAGCCTCCTTAGTAGCAATTAGTCAATATCTGTGTCCATCAACCTCTAATTCAGAGATTGGGAGTGGAGGGAAGGAAATTGGTTCAGAGGCAGTAATGGGAGATATCACACCATCTGCATGTACAGATAGAGATAAAGTTCTCAGGTTTTTCATATCCTTTGGTTTCCATTTTAACTTTGAACTTTCTGTCACATAAAATCAAGGCTCAAGACACCCAATGGTTTGTTAACAAAAACAATAAATACGGTGTAAAGCAAAGCCCTCTTGTACAGCTGTGATAATATTAGAGCACTGAACAACACACATTCCTTTTCATGGGCACATATACAAGAACAATATGCCCATCCCGTCCCTCCTGTTCCTTTGGGCAAGGTGCCCCAAATCACCCTGTTTAAGAAATTTTTAAGTTCTTTAAAGGGGTTTTGGTGGTGGCAGAGATGTTTAATTCATCCCTGTAGGGCCAGGGGTGGAGAACCTGCAGCCTCAAGGCCACATGTGGCCCTCTAGGACCTCAAGTGCAGCCTTTTGACTGAATCCAAACTTTACAGAACAAATCCCCTTAATAAAAGGATTTGTTCTGTAAAACTTGGACTCAGTCAAAAGGCCAAAGCCAAGGACCTAGAAGGCCACATGTGGTTTCGAGGCAGGTAGGCACCCCTGGTAGGCAATTCCTTTCACTATAGTAACTTCTAGTCTTAGAGAGGTACCTGAGTAACTTGCCCATGGCCACCTAGCTAGTATAATCTGAGGGAGAACTTGACCCTAAGTCCTGTCTCTCCAAGACCAACTCCAGCCCCGCTACCATGCAAAGATGGCAGACTTGGGTTGTTCTGATGCTTGCAGTATACATACTTGCAGTGGATAGAGCATCGGGCCTGGAAGACCTGAGTTCAAACCTAGCCTCAGATACTTCCTAGTTTTGTAATCCTGGGCAAGTCACTTAACCTGTGCCTCAGTTTCCTCAACTGTAAAATGACAGTAATAATGGCACTTACTTCCCAGAACTGAGGTAGGGTTGTTGTGAGGATCAAATGAGATAAGATTTGTAAAGTGCTTAGCACAGCACCTGACACAGAACAGACAATAAATGCTTGTCCCCTTCCTCTAAGAAACTACCAGGACTATTAATCTATCTGAGTCTCATTTCTCTTCTGTGTAAAAGGGGGATAATACCTGTAGCGCTAGTATTTATTTCAAATGATTGCTTTGAGGCACAAAAAAAATTTGAATGAATGAATAAATAAATTAGAAAATATTAAACACTTACTATGTGGCAAGGTAAATTCTGGAGATATAAACACAAAAAGGCTTCCCTGCCTTAAAGGAGCTTCCCTTTTATTTCTAATAGGGGGAGACAACATACATAAGAGGAATATTTTGGTATGAGTGCCTGGAACCATAAGGGAGTCACAATTGACCCATTCTTTCAAGTGTCTCTGGGCTACCTCTCAAACTCAGTACTCTCAAGTTTGCAGACTTGGTCTCCAGCTTGTAACCACTACTCACAGATTCTTAGGGTTGGAGTAGTGTCTAGGTCTCCCCAAACTACAGTTCAAAAGACCCATCTGGTAAGTTTAATAGCCAGTAGATCTCAAAGCAAAATATTTACCTTAGTAAGAACTGTAGTTACAGAATATCTGCCAGCCCCCCTCCATTAACCTGGGGGATAATATCCCACATATACACACGTCACTGGAAAGAGGGGGAACAAATTTAGGGTATGCTGGTCCTGAGGCACCACCATCAGGACCCATATGACCAGGGCATCTTATGTCTTCTGGCACTGCAGAGCCCTAATGTCATTTCACTTCATGGAGTCCTGCTTCACCCCAGGCACAGCATCTCTGCTGGGTTAAGATGTTCAATTAGGATCCCTAGGTCTGCTGCCTTCCAAAGTTTTACTCTCAACTACCAGGGATAGTTCTTGATTGAATCCAAAATCGGCTCTCTGCTCTCAGAGGTCATGCTTTTTGAAGTTAATTCTTGTCTTGAATGTGCCTCTCTGTCTGTGATTATCTGGAGTATATAAATTTCTGTTTTCTGCCTTGAGTCACTGAACTCTCTGAACTGCTTCTTCCTTGAGTGGCCCCTTTTGATTAAGTAGCTCCAATGCTAGATGACGTGGATGATGATAGGTTTGGGGGAGGGAAAAAAATCCCTGACCTCTGGTAGGAGCTCAGAGCCATATTCCACAAAGCTGCTTGCTGCCTCCAAGAACTTACACACTAAATCAAACTGTCCTCGGGGCTTGGCAGACTTAGTCTTTTTTAAAAATGATTTTATTTTTTTTATTTTTTCTATTAGGGAGTATTTATTTTTCTCTTCTTCCCCATTAAAAAAAAAAAGTAAAACCCTTGTAACACGCATAGAAAAAGCAAAACTAATTCCTACATTGGCTCTGTCCAAAAATATATGTCATTCTGCAACTTGAATCCATTTCCTGGAATAGTGGCCAGTCATTGATTCCATCAGAGTTTTCAGGTCTTACAAAGATGTTTGTCTTTACATCTGTTGTTATATAAATTGTTTTCCTGGGTTTGTTTATTTCACTCTGTATCCGTTCATACAAGTCCTCCCAGGTTTCTCTGAAACCATCCCTTTTATCTTTCATTATGACATAATGGTCTTCCATTATATTCAAATATCATAATTTGTTCAGCCATTCCCCAAATAATGAGCACACCTTTAACTTCCAATTTTTTGCAACTATAAAAAGAGCTGTCCCTGTGTACATATGAATCCTTTGCTTCTTTCCTTGATCTCTTTGGGCATACGCCTAATAATGGTATCACTAGGTAAAAGAGCATGCAGAGAGCTTAGTAACTTTCTGGACCTACTTCCGAATTGCTTTCTATAATGTCCTGTGCCATTTTGACACCAACAGCACATTCATGTGTCTCTTTTCCCAAAACCCATTCAAAATTTGTCATTTTCTTTTTTTTTTTTCAATTTTGCCAATCTGATGGGTGTGAGGTGAAATCTCGGAGTTTCCTTAAAATGTGCATTTCTCTATTAGTGATTTGAAACATTTTTTAAATATGGTTCAGGATTGGCTTTTTAAAGTCTTCCAGGGATGTGACCAATCTCTACCCAGCCAATGGCTAGCTGCCCTTCCTGTTCAACCAAATTACTCCTCCCCACACTTTGTAAACAGTGACAAAATATTATCTGAATGTTTTTACTTTCTAAGGTTAAGTGCACTCAACAATCCTTGCCCTGTAAGAGTTTACAATAACAATTTGGGACTCAATATAACCACAACAACAATTAGCTAATTGCTAATAGCATTTTTATAGTGCTTTAAGGTTTGCAATGCACTTTACATGTGTTATCTCATTTGATTCTCAGGACACTTCTGTGAGGGAGGTCCTATTATTATCTATTATGCCATTACAGATGAGGAAACTGAGGCTGAGAGAGGTTATGTGACTTGCTTCTTAGGGTCATGTAGCTAACAAGTTTCTGAGACAACATTTGAACTCAAGTCTTCCTGACTCCAAGTCCAGCATTCTATGCATTATCCCACTTCATGCCTTACATTTGTATCTTACTTACAAAACTTTCAGACATACAAGCTTGAGAAATAAGAAGGGCAGGTACTTTACAGTGAAGGAAACAAGACTCAGAGAGAGTAAGAATTTGCCCAAACTCACACCAGGAGAAACTAGAACTCAGGTCATTTGACTGCCTAGTCCAGTTCCCCCACCAGGGTGCAAATCCTTGTATATGAAATGAACTGTAGTAAAGGAGTTTATGGTGTGGTGTGTGTAGGGATGTGGATATGTAAGACGGTATAGTATAGTATTCAATGTTAGTTTCTGGGCCCATTAACCCCTAATCCAGAGACTGGATAGAATAATCAGAAAATTAAAAAAAAAAAATTACACCTCAGTGGACATACAAATCCCGCTACTCCATCTCTCCCAGGCAATGTCTGATAAAACTGCACAGCACATCACACCTTACAACTCTCTATCAATGTGGCAGGGAAAGGACAGACTGTTGTCCGATTACTCTGCCTCTGAATTTCCTCCCTTAGCTTCCTAGGGCACCCATGTAACTGGGGCACAAAAAGCCAGGGCGTTATGAGCTGCTGTTTGGCCTCTCCCCATATTTAACCCAATAATCCAAAGACCCAGTGGCCAGAGTCCAACGTGATTTTTGGTCAAAAGATTTCCTCAGAGGACTTGGCAAGAGGCATACGCAGGACCCTGGTGCAGAGGCACCCTCCACTTCCCTGGTTCCTGAGCTGCTCTGGCCACGGGTCTGAGACGGGTGTGGCTGGGGCGGGCTCTAGGACCCTGAGGGGCCCTGGGGCGGCTGGACATTCCT